TAATTTTATACAATATTTTAATAATTCTGAGAATGAAACAAAGCTTATGTACACTGAATTATCAAAAAGCAAAAGTATCACTATGTATTTTAGATTGCAGAATTCTGGATAAGGGATGCTTAACCTATTTGGGGGAGGGGGGAGAAGTTAAAAAATGTATATCATCTTTGTGCAATAAACTTCTGTTAAAGTAAAAAAAATCAATCCTTTCAATAAAACACGTGGCAAGTTTGAATTTCCAACGTATTGTAAAAAATCAATGTACTTATTCACTTAATATGTGGATAATCACCTATACTTTAGGTTGACAAAGTGGTTTTCAAATACAATTTGTAAAAATATTAATAAAGCTACACAACACTGCAACAGTTAAACTCATAAATTGCAGAAAACAGACAGATATTCAATGTGACCCGGACTGCCAGTACTAAGAAATATGTCTGAATCTATCGTCACAAACATAGAATTTTGCTATCAGATACACCTCCAAAAGAGGATGGCTGATCACTATCACATAAGTTACCAAGGGTACTTAGAGGAATGTAAGTTCGATGGAGAGTTATTCTTGTTATTGTTTTTGTTCCTGCTAACTACTTTGTTACCTTGGTTGATAGTTAGAATCATTTTTTTAAAGAAATTGTTTTTTAAAAAACACAATGACTGTAACCCCAAATTAAGCGGTTACTTCATTGATATTAGTTCATTCCACTGCATTGGAATTATCTCTCATGTTTTATCTATATACCTCCAATTCCTGTAGAGAGGATAAATACTGGCTAAAGCAGAACTTTCCAAACTGTGTGTTGCAATACACGAATGTCTTGGCTGCAGTGTATAGGTGTGTCGCACAAATGTAGCCAGAAATCTCTGAGTATATGTGAACTAAAGAATAAATATTTTTAAAAGTACAAATGAAAGGTTTTTATGAGATATTTCATGTTCCCATATGTATTGTTATTACAATTTATGTATGTGTCCGTATCTCTAAGATTGGTTTCCTCCCAGGTTTGCTTGTAAAACTGAATCCCTGTGTCATGAAATGCTGCATGTCTAAAAAGTGTGTCACCAACCAACGTGAAATGTTTGGAAAGCTCTGGGCAAAAGGGTAACAACAATGTATGCGTTGAAGATGTTGAAGGATGCTTATTATTGCACTTTTCATGATAAATATGAACTATTTTCATCTGGAATTGTTTTAAATTGTCTATATTGTTTAAAGTACATTTTGCCCTGTGATCTTTTAACATGAAACATAGAACAGATTGGCAAATTGTGGTCAGATTGTACTGCAGCTCCTAGCATTCCTCACTGCTGGTTTTACCAAACACAGTTCATGAGATCTCCATTCTAAAAAAAAACTGGAGATGTGACATATATACCCGAGTATAAGCTGACCCGAATATAAGCCGAGGCACCTAATTTTATTACAAAAAACTGGGAAAATGTATTGACTCGAGTATAAGCCAAGGGTGGGAAATGCAGCAGCTACTAGTAAATTTCAAAATAAAAATAGATACCAATAAAATATTAATTTAGGCATTAGTAGGTTAAATGTTTTTGAATATTCACATAAAACTGTAATTCAAGATAAAACTGTCCAACTCTGATTAAACCATTATTCTAACCTTCTTCAATGTAAATATGCTTACATGTCCTAATATAATCATAGAGTAAAATAATAATAATAATAATAGAGAAAAATTATAATAATAATAGAATAAAATAATAAATGTAACGATAACAATAATAAATAGAGTAAAAAATAAATGTAATAATAAAAATAATAAATGTAATAATAATAACAACAACAACAAAGTAAAATAATAAATAACGCTGACTTGAGTATAAGCCGGGGGAGACTTTTTCAGCCTAAAAAAGGATGGAAAAACTAGGCTTATACTCAAGTATATACAGTATACTTGCCCACCCCCTATTCAATTTAAAACTTGAAGATGAAATAGAAAGAAATCTTCACTTTTTGAATCCTTGAATTTCATGAAAAAAAACTTTCTTTTTGAAACCAAAAGAGAACTTACTGGAAACATTTTATCTGACTCTGCTCATCTCAGAAGATTAGCCACACATCAGTGAATTGTCAAGTTTGTACCGCAAGTCTCTGTTTTAGGAGGGACGAGTGCCTTGGTTTTCCTTGCCAAGTGCTTGAAAGGGAGATAAAATTTCATGAGGTTTTATTTGAGAAGGCAGATAGAAGTGTTTTCCTGGAAGAGGCCCTTATTAATGGGATTAAGTAGAGTTTTTAAACAATGGATGTTGATCATTCCTCCCCATTTTTTAGTGTTTCTGTTGCTTGTATTTTAAAAACACGCACAAAAGCTGTTCGCTGCCTAAATCAAGGCATACCTAGTAGACAGGCATTTCACTGAAGTACAGCCAAGCCTTCTCCACAGACGCTTTATTTTCTGACCCCGAAAGCAGGAACAAAATGCGTACGTACTGACATGGTTGCTACTTGTACATACACAGCCCAGGTCGTATTTCCTGAACAATTTCCATTCCTTTCTTTATACATTTTGTGAAACTGAGTTATTCCTTCTGGTACGCAAAAAAAAATTAATAAAAGAAAAAGAGAAAGAAAGAAAAAAAGGGGTGGGGAGTGGAACAAGCAGGTTGCCTTTTAGCTAACCCTATTCTGCCGGGATTTATTCACAGTTTGCCCTATACAACAAAGCCCACTGAGCCTCAATATCTTCATTTTAATTAGTCCTAAATAATTATTTATGCATTTAAATAATGTATAAAAGGTTGTAGAAATATTTTTTCCTAAAGAACTTGAAACACCAGTGCATAACACAGGTATAAATAATTCCCTTAACATGCAACACCATTTTTTCCTGTTTGAGAAACAATTATAAAAAAGCTATGTGGTATAAGGCTCCTGTCTTGCCACCTGTGCTTAAAACCATTCCTTAAGACATGATTTTTTAAAAAAACATTACATCTCCCCATTTTAATTCATATATTCAGTATCTCCATCTTATACAAACATCTTTATCTCTTCCCTACATTTTCTAAAATTATCAGGGGATTTGTGGAATATAACTAAATGCTATAAATATTTATAAAGTATTTTTCAGAGATTTTAATCTTTAAATTCTATCAGTAAGCAATTAATTATTCTTGTTATGTAACTAAAACAAAATATGAAGAGAAGATGAAGACAGATTACTTTGGCTCTAAGCAAATCGTGTGACTATTCCGTGGTCCATATTTAAAGATGATACCATGATTGCTTTCATTGTGAAGAAAAAAAAAGATTAACAATAATGATTTTTTTCCAAATAGAGTGTTTATTACGTTTAAAGCAATTAGCTGAAAGCTAATTCCCAAATTCATTGAGCCTTCCCAAAGAACTTGGGCTTTGTCAGAGGCTCTAACATAGCAGATAAATAATAATAATAACTATTTAATTCTTGTATCATGCCACCATATCCCCAAAGAGACTTGAGGCGACTTACACAAGGCACAAGGTGCCTAAATGCAAGACATGAAATAAAACACAATATAACTACAACTGAATAAAACACATAAGCATGTAACAACAGCATGAAACTCAGACTAAAACTGCGCTCATTTGTCAGTGGCGATAGCTGATGGAAACATGGCCAAACTTTAATATTAGGGACAGATAAGGGAATAAATACAGAGCTGTAACCATAGGGCGAGGGCATCGAATAAAGTGCAAGGCTGCATAACATATTCATAGATTAACTGGGGACTAGGCATTCTCAAAAGCTTGTTTGAATAATCAGGTCTTCAGGTCCCTACGGAAGGAGGACAGTGTGGAGGTTTGCCAGATGACGACACTGGATTTTTGTTGCAATTGTGTCAAGTATTTATTTATTTTATTTATTTGTCGTGTCAGGGCAACCAGTCAATTATATTACATTTCTAACAGAACAAAGCAAACAAACAGACAGAATACAAAATTTGTGAGTTTGGTAGTTGATTAAATGTCCTTTGACCAGTAGCTGGCCACTTGGAGTGCTTCTGGTGTTGCTGCAAGAAGGTCCTCCATTGTGCATGTGGCTGGGCTCAGGTTGCATTGCAGCAGGTGGTCAGTGGTTTGCTCCTCCACACTCGCATGTCGAGGATTCCACTTTGTAGCCCCATTTCTGAAGGTTGGCTCTGCATCTTATGGTGCCAGAGTGCAGTCTGTTCAGCGCCTTCCAAGTCGCCCAGTTTCTGTGTGCCCAGGAGGGAGTCTCTCATTTGGTATCAGCCATTGATTGAGGTTCTGGGTTTTAGCCTGCCACTTTTGGACTCTCGCTTGCTGAGGTGTTCCAGCGAGTGTCTCTGTAGATCTTAGAAAACTATTTCTTGATTTAAGTCTTGACGTGCTGGCTGATACCCAAACAGGGGATGAGCTGGAGATGTCTCTGCCTTGGTCCTTTCACTATTGGCTGCTACTTCCCTGCGGATGTCAGGTGGTGCAATATTTTTAATTAATTGTGTCAAGTATAAATATGATGAATACCACATCTTAATGAATACACATGCATAGTAGGCACCAACAAATATAAAGGATACAGAAAACCTTGGAATCTGTTCAGAACATGAAGACAAAGATGGAAAACGTCTGGAAATAAACAATTGGGGTGCTATATAATCCAGTGCTATATAATCCAGTTTCTGAATCCAGGTTATCTGCTTTGAATTTGGTTATATAAGTTTACACCGCTATATAATCCAGTAGAAAATAGATAATCCAGATTCAGAAACTACTGGCTGTTAGGAATTGTGGGAGTTGAAGTCCAAAACACCTGGAGAGCCCGAGTTTGCCCAAGCTTGCTATATAGATGTGCCCAGGAAGAGGCACTTGCTTGAAGCCTCCTCTTAAGAGCAACCTGCTAATGCTGAGCCATTGAATGATCCCTAAAGAGAATTGGTGAAAAGAGGAGCTCCTGTCTCTCCCCGCATTGAAGGAGGAGTAGAGGCTCCCTTCCTGCGCTTTCCCGTCAGGCGAGTGCAGTAGCTACCTCAGCGCGTCACGCCGCGGGGGCCTTTCTCCGCCCGGCAAGATGGCGGCGCCCATCAGGCCCTGAAAGATGAGGCTGACTCGGAAGCGGGTTTGCTCGGCGCTGCTGGCGGCCTACTTGCTCTTCTCCCTCTACGCCGCTTACAGCGTCTTCCTGAAGCCTCGGCGGCCCGTAGCCTCGCGGGCGGGGCAGAAAGAGAAGCAGGGGCGGGCAGGTAACCGGGCCCTCTCCTCTCTTTCTCTACCATAGGCAGGCATGGGCACACTTGGGCCCTCCAGGTGTTTTGGACTTCAACTCCCACCATTCCTAACAGCCTCAGGCCCCTTCCTTTCGCTTAAGCGGCTGAGGGGGGAAAGGAAGAGGCCTGAGGCTGTTAGGAATGGTGGGAGTTGAAGTCCAAAACACCTGGAGGGCCCAAGTATGCCCATGCCTGCTCTACATCTTCTAAGATGTCACAATATTGAGCCATGGAAGTTCAAGTAGTGTCAGGCAGCATCAATGCTACAGTGTAGATGCTCCTATAGGAAAATGTCTTGATTTAAGCGCATCTCCGCTTTGTCTAGTAGAGTTATCTGTAACATTTCAGTGCCCAAACTCCAGCTACTACAATGCAGGACTGATTTGAATCCAACTCAAGTGTGCTTACAGGTCAACCCAGTGCAGTAATGACTAATGCAGGTCGGTTTGGGACCAGAAGAGTTTGCGAATTTGGATTCTTTTTAGTAAGGCTTTAAGACACGTGTTATATACATAAGTATATGGAGCCCCCAGAGGCACAGCGGGTTAAACCACTGAGCTGCTGAACTTGTTGACTGAAAGGTCAGTGGTTTAAATCCATGGAGCAGAGTGAGCTCCATCAGTTAGCACATACAACACAATAGCCCACTTGTACACAGAAAAATGTAGCCCCCGGTGGCGCAGTGAGTTAAACCCCTGTGCCAGCAGGACTGAGGACTGACAGGTCGCAGGTTCGAATCCGGGGAGAGGCGGATGAGCTCCCTCTATTAGCTCCAGCTCTTCATGCGGGGACATGAGAGAAGCCTCCCACAAGGATGATTAAAACATCAAATCATCAGGGCGTCCCCTGGGCAATGTCCTTGCAGACGGCCAATTCTCTCACACCAGAAGTGACTTGCAGTTTCTCAAGTCACTTCTGACACAACAAAAAAAAAAAAACACGCACACAGAAAAATAAATCAGTTCAGCGAATAATGTGACTGGTGAAACTTATACAGTTTCCAATCATAGCATTCACAAAACAATATTATATATGTTTGGTTCAATCACTCAAAAAAGTATCAACGCTGTATGTTCTTGCATCAAGTTGAACTTAAATCCTTAGTCCACGACCGGTTTCGGCCTCACTCCAGGCCTTCCTCTGGTGGACTCAAATTATATATATATCAATATTTACTACGAATAAATTCATAGTAACTCCCACAGTTAGCCCCAGCTTCTGCTAACCTAGCAGTTTGAAAACATGCAAATATGAGTAGATCAATAGATACTGCTCCTGCGGGAAAGTAAGGGCGCTCCATGCAGTCATGCCTGCCATGTGAGCTTGGAGGCGTCTACAGACAACCCCAGCTCTTCGGCTTAGAAATGGAGATGAGCACCACCCCCAGAGTCAGACATCACTAGATGTAATGTCAAGTGGAAACCTTTACCTTTATTTTTTATACATAAATAATCAGATATCCTGGAGATGGGGCCCAAGCCAAGACATGATATGTATCTATGTGTCACGTGTGCTATGGACACATAGCCTGAGGATAATATTAATAATTTGTTGCATCCAGTAAGGTTTATTTGACATCAAAGCCTTCTGAAAGCAAAACTAAGCTGTCACTGTCTCAACCAGTATTTTGGAATTTGGGTATGGATGAGCGCAACCTGTACACAACTGGATCTGATGCTCCTCTTACAAGTGGCTTGTAGTGGTTTAGCTCAGTGTCTTCACTGTAGAATCAAAGCAGTTTGACACAACTTTTAATTCCCAAGGATCAGTGCTGTGCAATCCTGGGAGTTGTCGTTTGGTGATGCACCAGTACTCTTGGGCAAAGAAGGTCGAAGATCTTGTAAAACTACAACTCCCAAAATTTCAATAGCCTCAAGCCCTCCCAGTGAGAGTGATGTCCAGCTGCATTTATTCCAGTTCTCCAGCTATTCAGATCTCATAGTGTTGAAGCATCAAGTACAGTCAGCCCTCCATATCCACAATTATTGCCAGAAGAAGACTGGAGGTTCGGGCTCCAGTGTCGCCATTATATTGAGGATTTTCAGTTCTATCTGCTTTCCTCACAGAGCTGTTTCAGTACTAAACCACAATGTTTTGTTAGTCATAGACTGGATGATGGCAAACAGAAACTTAATCCAGACAAGACAGAGGTGCGGATTCAGTCTGTGCAGATCTTGGGTGTGCTGCTGGACTCAGTCTGGAGGTTCAAATTTTAGTAGTGGCCAGAAGCTCATTTGCACAATTAAAACTATAGCTATAACACTATGTAACAAAATTTGAAAAAAAAATCTGATCCTGGTTTGAAAGTGTTATTTCCTGTTTAAATGTGCAATACTTATTTTGAAAGTAGTTGGTATACTCCAGAGACTTCGTTTTTGTGGCTGCCACAAGCAGTGTTGAATTGGTTGAGACTGTGAGATACTCATTGAAAAACTATATCAAAATTATATCAAAATGTGCTGCAGGATGTCCCACAAAAAAGGTTTTGCAGTTTAATAAACTTTTTCCATGTTTTTATGATAGAACCAACTAGGAAATGATATTTATATCCTAGAAACATAGTGCAGTCCGTTCCTTGAAATGTCAGATCTGACCTTGGTCGTGTATGTCTTGAGTAGATTCACATTGTGTTGCTGTAACATATTTTTTGTAGGGCTGTCTTTGGGATCTGTTCAGAAACCTCAGGAGGTCCAAAAAGCTGTGACAAAACTACAAACTAGGGCTGGTTAGAGAATGAGTATAACTCCCTGGATGAAACAGCTTCACAGGCTTACCGTCCATTTCCAGGCACAATTCAAAGCTCCTGTTCTGACCTATAAATCCTTTAAGACTTATGACCAGGCTGTCTGAAAGCTATGTCTCCCCATATAAGCCTAATCACCTTACGATCTTTGCAGGAGAATTTGCCCTCTGGCCTACCTTCACAGGATTTGGGAGTGCCTTCTAGGTGCCTGCTTCTATGAAACTCATCCATTGGTTCCATTGACCCCCTCTGCTCTTTTACTGGCTGACAAACACTTCCTTATTTAGACTCCAGCTTTTAACCTATTGGGCAGAAGGGTGTGTACTGGATTGTTACTTAATGTTTACATTTTTGTAGTACATACTGTTTTAGCTGTTTTAATTTACCCTGCAGTATAAGCTATATTAGGAGCCGCTGTGGTGTAATGGTTTGAGTACTGGGCTATGACTCTGGAAACCAGAGTTCAAATCCCCACTCAGCCATGTACACCTACTGGAGGACCTTGGCCAAGTCACATCCTTTGCTGCAGATAAGGCAATGCCAGCCTCCTGAACAAACTCGGCCAAGAGAAGCCTGTGATATGGTCACCTTAGGAGAACCACAAGTCAGAAATGGCTTGAAGGCACACAACAAATTATTAATGAGTTTTGGCTCCTTCATCATTAGGAAAGCAGGATATAAAACAAATGAAAAAATAGCACCATAGTAGGAAGCCTTACAGAGTAACTCACCCCTTCCATTGGAATGGAAGGGAGAGCGAATATAACAAAATCATTGTATACTAAAGGAAAATGAAGAGACTGAAGCACTCTGAAATTCAGAAATCAGGGATTACTTAATGTTGTTATTAGCACATATGTTTCACTTGCCTACCATTGTTTCCATAAACTAATCCAGTTGGTTGTAAACATACTGGGATAGACTGGAGTTAGCAAAAGATGAAGAGAGAAGGGTTGGAATTACTATCTATACTGAAGGAAACCTTAATAAAATTTTGACTGTAGTATGATCCCTTATATTCTTAGGAGATAGGTTCCTGAACTTACAGTGAAAAACTGGAAACCATATCGAAATAGACAACTTCTGCTACAAGTTTCCATAGAGGCTCACTGAAGGATCTAAAAATGGGAATTTGTTGGGTCCTCCAAGGCATCTCAGGAAACATACCATAGAATCACCTAGAGGACATAGAAAATTTCTATGTAGGACAGATTTAGTCAGATTTGGCAAGGTGAAACCATAAGTTCTGGTTGAGTGGGTATGGGGATTGTACTGTTATTTGTTAGTTATTAGAGTATTGCTCAATCTAGTTCAGTAGCTTGCAGAGGTTCTGCAGATTTCAGAAGCAGTCTTTCTAAGATATATTTTGAGTTGCCAAGGATTGAAACAGCGAGTTTACATACAGAGTGCTGCACCAACCTTGTTTCCATGGTTTAAGAAAATATTTATGTGTTTCTGGTGTTACAAGTGTAGTGTTAACTGGTCACAAAATACTGTTATAAGAAGAGCTTTAGAATAATTTCCTGTGTTAGTTGTCCAAATACTCTTAATCTTTCATACTTAGATCATGCTGCTTTGAGAACTGATGAATGGAATCCTTGGGAAGTTGATGAAAAGAATGATTTGCAACAGAAGTCGGCAACCAACTTTCACCTACTAAAAAAGATGGGAGGGCAAGAGGAACAAACAGACCTCAGGGTACAAATCTGGGGAAAAGCTGCTATTGGTGAGTATATTAATATTGTGATTACTATATCCAAATATAACTGCTTCCTGTTTCAATGCAATCCGAAATATTTCTACTGTGAACTCTTAGTGTAGTCAGATATTTTCTCTTCGTAAACTTTGGGCTGTAGCATTTAAATGGAAATAAGTTGTATTAGCAGCTGTTGGATTGACTTCTGAGCAGGCATGAATAAGCTCGGAATGTCAATCTATCTATCTAATGGGCCATAACATTATCTGCCAACTTGACACTTGACTTTTACTAATAATTTCTCCGAGTAACATGATGGATGCTATTTTAGTAATATTAATTTGGTATATTCCGTTATTAGATGTTGTCAACAATTGATGAATAATCATTATGAAAAGTAGCTGTACCTCAAATTGCATGTCCTATTCAGATTTCTGTATTGGGAGCTGGGTGATCCTTTTCAGTTTTAGTGGTGTCAACTGCAAAACAGAGAAGATCCTTCTGTTGCCTATGGAATTTCCATTCTCTTTACATTTGGTTTCACATGTAAGTGCATGTCCTTAGAAGTATGTATCTGAAACCCTCTCATAGAATCATAGAGTTGGAAGAAACTACAAAGACAATCCAGTCCAATTTCCAGCCATGCTGGAGCATACCATCAAAATACTCCTCACACAAAAAACCTAAAGAAGGAGACTCTCCCAAGCTCTGTGGCAATACATTCCACTGTCGAACAGCTCTTAATATAATGAAATTCCTTCTAATATTAAATTGGATTTTTTTCCCTACAATTTGAATCAATTCCTCCATGTCCTGGTCGAGCAGCAGAAAACAAGCCTGCTCCACATTGAATATGACACCCTTTCAAATATTTAAACATATTAAAAACATCAGAATTAAAACAGTAAATAATGAACATCACTCAGAAATAGGAGAACTCCAGGCAGCAAGCAACCAAGGGCCAGTTAACACCTCCCAAATAGAGGATGCCTCCAGGCAACAAAAGTCAGGCTATCTCACTGCAGATACCCTCACTGATTTGCAAACCACGGCCACTCAAATGCTAATTTAAACTTGCTAATTACAACATTTGCACTTGCTGTAAACAGATAAGAGTTCTTTCTCCCACCCTGGACATTCCACAGTTGTATATATATATAAGGAGAGAGAGAGAGAGAGAGTGACCTGCCTCACTGCCAACAGAACCTCGGAGGATGCTTGCCACCGATGCAGGTGAAACGTTAGGAGAGAATGCTGCTGGAACATGGCCATAAAGCTCAAAAAACCTCACAGTGACTCAATGATTCCGGCCATGAAAAATCTTCAACAATATTTACACATAGTTGTCATGTCCCTCTGAAACTTTCTCTTCTCCAAGCTAAACTACTCAGCTCCCTAAGCTGTTTGTCATAGGTCATAGGACCTTTGTCCATTTTGGAAACCCTTCTCTGGACATATTCCAGTTTGTCCATCTCTTTCCAGAGCTGTGGTGCCCAAAACTAGACACAGTATTCCGGAAGAGGTTTTGCACAAAATATAAAACAGTGGACTAAGAAAGGATTTGGATAGGTTTTACCATAAATCTGGTCTGTTCTCAAAATCCCCCCCCCCCATTCTGAAATATTTATCCCATTCAGAATGTGCCATGGAGTATTTTGCTATGCATTCATGCCTGTTTATGTAAAGCTTCACAACCCTTATGTGTGAAAAGAACTGGCATTATTAGTTATGTAGAAGTATCTACCATGTTTTCCCCTAATTTTTAACATTCATTCTGTATGTTGGAAGCCATAAGTCTTTCTTCATAGAAAGAAGTAGGTATCATCTCCTTTGACTTACAGGAGAAGAATAAAAGCATTATATTCTAGTAATCTCATAACTCTCAGGAAATTCAGGTGTCTTCTTACGTATCCAGTTTACATTCTAACAAGGAGAGAATTATATGCAGATAGATAAATTTTTCAGCTTTTGTTCAGTAAATCTGTTTACCTCCTCAATTTCACCTCTTCATAGTATAAGGACTGTTAGTTTTTGTTTTCATTCTCATTTAATCCTTCTTTATCTTTCTGTTTCCTTGTCAAACTTGTTTGCAACATCTTGCTGCAATTCATATTTATCCACATCTTTGTCTCAATTATCTTAAAAGTTACAGACTGTAGGCATTCAGAAGTATTATTAACCATGAGAAATTGTGTTTTTATAGGTCTTTACCTGTGGCAACATATCTTTGAAGGTCCGCTTGAGCCTGCAGATGTTTCAGCTCAGTGGAGAGAAGGAAGCATGAAAACAGGAAGCTCATTTTTCAGGTACAGTTTGATGCCTCTTGTCAGTTTAGTGCAACAGTATTACATAGTCTAGAGTAGGCATGGACAAACTTCGGCCCTCCAGATATTTTGGACTTCAACTCCCACAATTCCTAAAAGCTGGTAGGCTGTTAGGCTTTTAGGAATTGTGGGAGTTGAAATTCAAAACACCCGAAGGGCCGAAGTTTGCTTTGGCTGGTCTAGTTCCATAATTATGCTAAGATTGGAAGTTACGATAAGCCATAGTGAATTGCAAATTGAAGCATAAACTTCAGATCTCTTCATAGGCTCACCAGAGGATGCATGAACTCATAAGTCACAGTCAAGTGTTGTAGCTGAACATTCGAATTTAGAACAAGTTACAAGTTCAGTAGGTGGTTTCTTATTTCTCTAGAGATGGTCAACAACAAGAAAGACTGTACTCTTTATCTTTCAGAATTCTTCAGCCAGGATGGACAGTAGCCATTTGGGGGAGGGGAGTTCATGAGAATAGTAATCCCCAAAAAGGTTTTTGTTTTTTTTCAAACTCTGAGCAGCACATGTGTTGCATGTGGTTATTGTAAGTAATCTCCCTCCATTCCCTTATATGACATATTTTATTGATTTTTTTTTTTACTGGGGGGCAGGAGAGAGAGACAGCAGTAACACCATCAGATCTGATTCTCTTGCTGGGCTTCTCTCTAGTCAATTCCCTTGAGTGGAGTTGTAGATATCAGGAAATGCTTATTAATGTTCCAGGTTTCAGTAGCCCGTGATCCAATAACAAGGGATGGCAGTGGATGGAGGAGGACTCCAAACCCACTGATTGAACTAGGGAAAGCAGCTCCTTAACATCCAGTTAAAATGAGTTTGGGGATATGTTGTTATAGTTTAACTATAATTTTATAGTGTAGTGAAATAAATGACACACTAGGAGCTGCATTATCTGTGTGCTGTCTTCTGGGCACAAGTCATGGGCAATCACTTGTGGCCAAGTAAAATGGACTTCTAGAGGTAGAGTCTTGGCGGTGGGTCTGTAAATGACTATGGAGACCTATTCTGGATTGGCATGGTCTTTTGTAGTGAGGACATAGATTTGCAGATGGAAAGTGGTCATGACAAGAGTTGGCTTGACCCACCTTCCTCTTGGCACTTTCCTTTCTCTCTCTTTTCATGCGTCTTCAAAATCCATAACACCTTTGGTAATAGCTGACCTCCAGTTACAACACTCTAATGCCCAGGCTTCTCAGTTCTTGGTGTTTATACCACTTTTTTTTTTAGGTTAGCTTTAAGCCCCTCTTTAAATCTCTTGTTGTCTACCGACAGTCTGTTTTATGTTCTTCAGTTGATAATAAAGTAACTGCTTTGGGAGACAGTTATTGGGCATTTGGGCAGGAACTGGCGTGCTTGCTAGATTGTTTTTCATTGCTGAGAACCCAAGCTTCTCAGAATACTTAGTTTAAAAGTTAGACCTTGTAATGTGACATAAGAGAGCCAGTGTGGTGTTGTGATTTTAACATTGGACTACAACTATGGAAACCAGGATTCAAGCCCCTGCTAGCTCATAGAAACCGATAGGGTGACATCTGGCAAGTGACAGTCTCACAGCCGGAGAGGAAAATGAAAAGCCAACCCCCTCTTACAAAATAAATCTTACAAAAAAACCCCTCCTGTGATACATTCACCTTAGGCTTGCCATGAATCACAATTTAAAGTTGCATAACAATAACAGCATGAGAGGTTTCAGGAAAGCATAGGTTTCGTGGCTTCTGGGCATCAGGGTTGGATGGATGAAGTCTCTGTATGTGTTCTGCAACCCTAGTTGTTCCAAATAATAAAGCCCCCTGTTCACTTTGATCTATTATGTGTAGTATATCATTCTATTTTTTTAAGAGACATTTTTGTGTGTGTTACTTTGGAATTCTATGTACAAGAACATATTCCTGTATTAATACTATATAGTAAACCTGTATTTTCTTTTCTATACCTTGAATGAATCATATCTTTGTTTATTAGAGACCTTTGGAAATATTCAGAAGAATTTAATTGTATGGAAATATGTCACTGTATAAATAGTGATCCGTGCCTTGAGAAATATTCCAGTGATTAGGTTAAAAAAAAGGTTTTCCCCTGATATTAAGTCCAGTCGTGTACGACTCTGGGGGTTGGTGCTCATTGCCATTTCTAAGCCAGAGAGCTGGCATTGTCCATAGACGCATCCAAGGTCATGTGGCCAGCATGACTACATGGAGCACCGTTACCTTTCCGCCAGAGTGGTACCTATTGATCTACTCACATTTGCATGTTTTTGAACTGCTAGGTTGGCAGAAGCTGGGGCTAACAGCGTGAGCTCACCCCTCTCCCCAAATTTGAACTGGTGACTTTTCGGTCAGCAAGTTCAGCAGTTCAACCCACTGTGCCACCGGGGGCTCCTAGTAATTATTAATTAATCAGTAATTATTAATCCCTTAATCATAATGTAGCATTTGTAATGTGCAAGGTGCTTTTAATCTTCATTCCATTCAAATTTTCAGTACTTTGTGAGACAAATCGCTGTTTTGTTGTTTTATGGGATGAGGAACTGAGATAGTGAAGTAGTGATGATATGGGAGAACATAAATTTTAATTAAAATTTCCTGTATTCATAGTTGGGGAAGGTGGAAGCTGCACCTCAAAACTAGGGTTCTTTGTAAGTCATTAACAATTCTATGCATACCTATTCTGAAATAATCCCTATTTGTTTCGATAAGAACTACTGCTAGTTTGGGCTATACAAGATTGTAGTACAAAACAACAATATTTTTTCTGTTCTTTGTTTATGCTGTTGATATCCAGTTGGTGACAAAGAGTGGTAGCTTACATTTCTGAAACCCATTCTCAAAGGAAATGTGTCAAATGCACACGTCCCTTATTTTAGAAAGGTTTTTTTAAAAAAGAACTTAATACTTGGCTTTTCCCAAACACCTATTTTAAACCAATGTATTCTTATCATAGTAATCACTAAAGTGACTACTATTTTTAAATTGTATTGTTTTAGTACTAAATGTGTGTAAGCACAGAATAATAAACCATACTGGAAACACTGTCATTGTTTTGTTTTTATAAGAATTCTATATTCTTAATTTAAAAATCTTTTTAAATTACATATTCTGAGTATTCTGTGTGCTGAAATGTAGAGTGTTCTCTCATTTATAACTCACAAGGGAGATAAGAGACATATCTCAAGATGGTAAAAAGAGTTTTTAGCCATCATTTGCTCTTTTTTCTTTCTTTCCTCAAGTCAGCATGTTAACTCATAAATTACACATGACACGACAGTTTATTTTTATAGTAGTTGCCAAAATGTTGACTTTTTATTGAAATATAGTTGAATATTTTCAAAAAAACTATCAGTTAACAGAGACTTCAGAACAAACAGGTTTCTTTGAATAGAAAATTCCATCCTAAGTTATATCAGGATTTATTTAAGAATGATGGTTTTATAGTTATGGGCTAGCTTTTTAAACCACGAATATTCATAAGAGTCTCACAACTGCCATTTTTACTTTTTGCCATTATAATTGCAGGAAAGTAACACCAACTTATAAAAGTATGTTCTTAGTTTAGTATAAGTACAGCTTTTTTAAATAGCCGGTGAGATGGAATCAAGCTGCCATTTCAAGGACTTCTTGCATAGGCTCTATTAGTGCATTTTTGAAATTCTTTTATCTGTGGAGGGATCATTCTCCATATGTGAAAAATCTCACCAGCTGGTGAAAGAACACCACTGGAGACATTGATTGAAAGAGAGAATGAGAAACAAAGACAGAACGGGAATATGACTTCAGAAAGCTACAAATTCAATCACCTGGTGATAAGATACCAGCAGGGTACATTTTGCTTTGGAAAGTTCTTCCAGACAAAGTATTTTCAAACTATTTTCCATACTCTTGGTTTTTTCTTTAAAAAATTATCACATTATGCCAGCTGATTCAAACTGCTTTGCAGGATAAATGTGCGATGTTATTAACAGAACAAACATAACTGTAGAATTCACTAAACAAGCCAAGACCAGAGTTGCTAGTGTTTACAACATGATAGTGGCAGAAATCTCCAATCTCTCATCTGCTATGATACTTTAGTGACCTGGAAAACAGGGAATATTGGGAACATTGAGAATGATTAGTCCCTAGGTCCAGTTCCCAAGTAACCAGATTGTAGTCTGTCCTGCATTTCATCCACTTCCCCGGCCCTATGATTTACTGTTTGCACTATCCCATGCCTAGCTCTTTTATAGTTGGCCCACAGCCATTTAGTAAGTCTAGCCATTGGTTTTGTTGAACCTCTACTGATGGTGCTACAATGAAATGGGTATTTAATATTTTTATCTTTCATGTGTTTTAGCAGAATCTTTTGTATTTTATGATGTTCAGTTATTGTTTCTTTGTCTATTAAGTTTGATTAGGTTTGTTATATTATTGAATGGGTTTATTTTAATGTAATTGTTTGTATGGTTTCTTTCCGGCAATTGAATGTTTTGCCTTACATCTTGGAAACCGCCCTGATTCCCTGTGGGGAGATAGGGTGGTATACAAATAAAGCTGATGATGATGATTATTATTATTATTATTATTTTATTAACATGTTGGTACAGTTTAAGACTTACTCAACTGAGAGTTCCAAAACTGTGTCAGCCCTACAACTGCCATGGTCAATTCTTTTCTATTATGTTGCGTGGGATGAAACAAAGAACAATTAAATACCCTATACACTCATGTATAAGTCTAGAAATTTTAGTCAAAATATCAACCCAAAAAACTGGGCCGACTTATCCACAAGTGAGTGTGAATACTATACCTTCACATCCTCTTATCTGAGTTGTGCAGTGAATGGCAAGAGCATAGGAGAACTTATGGAGAACCTAAAAGAAGCACTGACCCTTTCTTCTTCCTCTGTCATGGTGCCACTTCTGACTTTTTTGAATGCCCAGGTGAGGAAATAGTGGTGGCAGCAGACAGGAGTGGCTGAGACAATATTGATGCTTT